TGTGCTAGTTCAACAATTCATATATCAAACTGTTCAGCTGTTTCAGGACAAGTCTTCTATGACTTTTGCTATTAGTGCAACTTGAGCTTCTTGAGATATTTAGCCTTTTCTGCCATTTTGGCCCTGAATGAAAATGAATTGAGCTCATTTTACATCCTTTATAACTTCTGATCTGTTTACAACCTTTTACTAATAGTTTCATATTTAGATACGGTTAAGCTTCTTTCAGCTTCCTTGTACAAATTTCTGAAAAACTTTGCCTACTTCAGCTAATTTCAGCAGTTTTTCAACTGTTTTGTGCTCCTTTCAGCTTAATTCAGCTAACTTCAACGTTTTGTGCTAATTAGGCCCGATTAGCGAAGCTCTGCAAAGGCCTATTGTAATCGCTCTGTTCAGGCCCGAGCTGCAATTTTTTCCGCCAAATGAATTGGCATTTTGGGGGCCTTAACGTTTCCTAAAAGTCACCAAATTTGGCGGACGCATCAGGAATGGTGAAAAATTATGTATTTTAAAGGCGTGGCAAAAATCTCAACAAAAACGGCTCAAGAGCGCCACCTGGAAAATTTAAAAATACCCTCCGCTTTAACCTTAGTTTGTCGTAGAAACATGAAATTTGGTAGACTTGTCCAATTCCCCAAGATGCACAGAAAACCCTCTGGCACAAAAGTTGTACGATAAACAGGAAGGCAGCCATTTTGGAATGCTGGCCCAATTTTCACACCAATTTGGCGGTTTACAGCCTCCGCATTTGAACAAACTCCTCCTAGGGATTTTGCTCATTCGGTTTCAAACTTGGCCATTTTGGTCAAAAGGCATGGGGGACGAAAAGCTATCAAAACGGTGCATTTTCGTGCATGGTGAAGGGGCGGGGCCAGACCTCAAAGTTTGGCATCTCGCCATGAAAAACAAAACACTAATAGCTCTTACAAGAAAACTGTCTAACACATCAAACCTTCAGTGACTGATCCGCATCCGGTCACCTGCAAAACTGAATGGTCAAATCATGACATCACTTAAGACACGCCCTCTGACAACAGGAAGTGTAAAGATTTACCTTGAACGATCCCTATCTGACCCCTGTCACCTGATCAGCATGATAGTGTGTCCAGTGACTGAAGACATGTTGGTGTAACTTGCTTCCCATCAATGACAGTTTAGTGTGGAGCATGTGGGTGTCGCGACATGGCGAAGTAAGACGTAACACCGTCGCCATACGTTTGGCTCTAAATTCCACAGTTTTGAACCGAGGTGCACCAAAATCAGTATGATCAATCATTATCCATCCCTTGAACAGGAAGCCATGATAAGTGGCAAATAGCCTCCACAGCACCCCCTAGAATATTTTAAAACCTCAACCCCAAGCCATTTTTGAACCGATAATTCTGAAACTCTGTGAACTTCTGTATCTTCTCAGGACCTATGAAAAAGTCTCTTGGAGCCCTGGTCCAAAACGAACAGGAAATCGGCCATTTTGGGTCAAAGGGTCATTTTTGGGCGTTTCTAATTGTGAATTTTCACGAACTCCTCCTAGGAATTTTGAAGGATTGCCTTCAAATTTGGTTGATATTCCCTTAAGGCATTGGAGAATAAAAGTTATCTAAAGCTTGCGTTTTCGTATATGTTAAAGGGGCGTGGCCAGGCCTTAAAGTTTCACTTAACGCCATAAATTTCCAACCACTATAACTTTCACAATGAAAGACCGAAATGCACGAAACTTGGCATGACTCATTCCTGTGGATGCTCGATGATCCACTGTCGTCATATTTTGACGTGATCAAGGCCCCACCCCCTCAGAACAGGAAGTCTCTTTTTTAACTTGGAATACTCCCTCTTTGATACCATTGACCTAATCAGGATGATCCTTGTGTTAGACGACAGATAATATGGTCTGATTGATTTAAAGCGAAAACCGTTTTTGCTTGAGGATGTGGGCGTGATGGCGTGGCGAATTAAGAAGTGACGCCGTTGCAATACGTTTGGCTCGAATTTGCACAGATTTCAGCCGAGGTGCACGAAAATCACTATGATCGATCATTATCCGCCCCTTGAACAGGTATCCATGATAAGTGGCCAATTGCCTCCACAGCGCCACCTACATTATTCCTACAGTTATATCTCAGTGATGCATCATCCGATCAGAACCAGATTTTTTTGTGCATAATCGGTGAGCACGTCTAAACACATTGATATTGTGGTTTAACATATGACTCAAGTGCGCCCCCTCTCATACAGATATGGGCGGAAGGCGATTGCCATGTTTATGCATATGCACACCCTGGTGGACGCGTGCGGGAATGGCACGAGAGCATTAGCGACGGCAACTAGGAGGCGTTGCTGGAGAGCCCGCGGGTGAGGTCGAAGGTTCGGCGAATGCGCACCCCGGTGAATGGGCGCGGGACAGGAGTGAGAGCATTCACGATGGCGATCGGGCGGAGTCACTGGAGCTCCAGCGGTCACCGTAAGGCCGGAGCGGCGCTTTGATGCGAGGGCCTTCAATGCTGCTTGCAGCTTTAATTTCAACTTTACCGTGCCAATTTATGGCTCTTTCAGCCTTAATTGGCACAATTAAGCTCCCTCCACTTCCTTTTGGAAATTTAAGCTTCTTTCTACATTTCTTGAGCTACTATTCAGGTGATTCACAGAAAAACTAGGATAACTCTGCCATTTTTAGAGCTATTCACAATCACTAATAAACCCATCCATCCATCCATTATCTTTACCCGCTTGTTCCATTTTGGGTCACGGGGGTCGCTGGTGCCCATGTCCAGCAATCACTGTGCGAGGGGCGGGGTACACCCTGGACGGGTCTCCAGTCCATCACAGGGACACATAGAGACAAACGAGACAAACAACTCTCTCACTCACACATAGGGACAATTCAGAGTTACCAATCAGCCTAACATGCATGTTTTTGGTCTATGGGAGGAAACCGGAGTACCCGGAGAAAACCCACGCATGCACGGAGAGAACATGCAAACTCCACCCAGAAAGGCCCCTGGACCGGGGTTTGAACCAAGGACCTGCTCGCTGAGAGGCAGCAACTCTACCAATTGCGCCACCGTGCTGCCCTCACTAATAAACTTTGACTGAAACCAAAAATTCAAGATGGACGCCTTAGCAAAAAAGGTAAAACACTATAAATCAGCCAATTTTAGTCATATTGAGATGAAAGTTGGTGTGATGTCACTTGACAATGTTTCCCATCAAATGCTAGATGAAAATCAAAAATCCAAGATGGCCACCAACGCTGCATTTGAATGGATTTAACTCAGCCCATTTTACACATATAGAGCTGCAATTTGGGGAGGTTATAGCTGAGAACATTCCCTTTCACATATTAAATCCAAATCAAAACTCCAAGATGGCTGCATTAGCGAAAAAGGGAAAAATATGATAATTCAGGCATTTTTAGAGCTATTCAACTGAAATTTGGTATTGTGGTAGCTGAGAGCGAACCCAAACACATAGTACTGTCCCATCAACAATTTAATAAAAAATTATGCTATTTCCTGATAATTTAAGACATTTTTTCAACTGTTTTGAGCTCCTTTCAATTTTATTCATCAAAGTCCAACATTTTTGTGCTTCTTGTAACTTATTTCTGCTAATTCCATCTTATTCTGCTCTTTTCAGTTTAATTCTGATTAATTCAAATAGTTCTGCCATTTCAGCTAACTTTTATGCTAATTTCAGCTTTTTCAACTAAGTCCACATTTTTTGCAATCATTTCAACTTTTTTCAGCCTGATTCAGCAAAATGCTCTACCCACTTCCTTCTAGTAATTTAAGCTTCTTTCTGTTTGCTTCAGCTACTATTCAGCTGTTTCTGGCCAATTTCAGCTTTTTCACATAATTAAACTGTACCATGCTAATGTCTGCCTCTTTCAGACTTAGTGGGCACAATTCAGCTCACTTCACTTCCTTTTGGAAATTTAAGCTTCTGTCTACATTTCTTTAGCTACTATTCAGCTGTTTAGTGAAATTTCAGCTTCTTTAAGATAATTTCCATTTCTGATTTCTTGTGCTAACTTAGGCTTGTTCTTCCTTTTCAGATAAGTTTCTGTATGTTTTTAGCTAATTTCAGCAGTTTCTCAGCAAGATCTTCAGCAAGAAGCATTCACACTTGCATTTTCGTAGGGAATGCAAATTCTCTAGTTCTGTTTTATATTCCTTTTCTGTATGCATTTATTCTACTCCTCCTCCAAGAAGCATTGCTTTATGCAGGCATCACCCTGTTGTTGCTGTAGTTACATAAAGTGGCAAATAAGGATTGAGTGTCCCTTGGCCTTAAAAAACATTTACCCTATCTCTCAAAAATAAAGCTTTCCCTCAGGATACATTGCCAGTTAGACAAACAGATGCTACTAAGAATCAGTAGCTGTAAATCTGTAGAAAACATCAAGGGAAAAGACAAAAACACAAATGTGGTACAGTTTTGCCTAACTGTGTGTCAAAAAGTAAAATAATGAAGAGTCCTAAAATCGAAATGAATTGTGGAAAAATACAACTATTATAAGATCCTATGAGAACAAACTGTTATACCAACTCGAAATGGATAATAGTTAGATGCACATTAATATTCATGATGGAGCCTTCTGATGGAGCATGAACTCCAACAGCAACAAGATGAAAGACACTGCCTCCTCCACCCTCCCTCAAGGTTAAAAGCAGGCCTCGGAATGGTACCACCTCCTCTACATCCTGTGCTCCAAGCCACCAGATTTTTTTTTTCTGATGCACAACCCCCCACCTCCACCCCTACTCCCACATAACACCCACAAATATATAGTCCCACTAAACAAGCCGTTTTCTCTGAATAGAGAAGTTCTTTTTGGTTGGTGTTTGTTGGCAGCGAGAGTTTTCATTTCGTTTCCACAACATCTTAAATGACCCGGCTATTATGTCACCTTTCAAGTCTGTGGGAAGTTCAGTAACTTTACAGTTTACAGCTGCCAATTTGGACAAAAGGTTTTTGATTGGAATCAGGAGTTTAAAGTTAAATCATACCCCGATGCTGGTGTTGGACAATGGATGGCTGAGGTTGTTGAACTTCCATGGTTCCGATGGAGAATCTCTGTGTTCTCGCTGGAGTTCAGAGGTCACACCATCAATCCCAGGAAGTTGAAATAAGTCCATGCAAATAGGACGCTCCTTCCTGAAGATACAGAAATGTGGGGGACAATGAACAAAACAGAAAAAAAAAAAACTTTGAAAAAAGTATTTGTATTGTTTTTATTTTCTTGTCTTACAAGCTGGAATTTAAATGGAGTTTCAGTTTGAGAGTAAGAAATTATTCAACACAAATACTTCAGCTTAATTAAGTTAAATATGTAAAAAAAAAAAGTATAGCATGGGTAGTTTACCCCTTTGCTTTGAAGCCGCAACCATTGCCCATAGGTCAGAAGCCAAGTTATAGTGAAATACAGATCAGGCATAACAAGAAGCAACAACTAATAATTCCTGGAGAAAATTTCACGGGAACTGCCACGCTGCTGCCAATTTCAAATGTGGATTTGACAGTACTTTGTGTAGCCCAGGTAGCTATGGGCGGCAGTGGCTGAGTGGTTAGAGCAGTCGTCCTCCAATGCAAGAGTTGGGGGTTCGAATCCACCAGCAGTCACATGCCCAAGTGGCCCTGGGCAAAACATTGAACCCCTCATTGCCTCTGATGTGTGTCCCATCAGTGTATGAATGTGATTAGTCTCTGATTAATCTCTTTAGAATTATTTGTTCAATTAGCTTTGTAGAGATCTAGTAGAGTGCTGTTTGAATGGGTAAATGAGGCACAGATTGTGTTGAAAAGTGCTTGGAGTATCTTGATCAGATAGAAAGGTGCTATATAAGTGGAGTGGTGGCGCAGAGGTTAGAGAGGTGGGCTTGTGATCCGAAGATCGCCGGTTCACGCCCCGGCCCCGACAACATCAAAAATTGTGGGTGGGGTAGGTGAAACACCCACACTTGCCCCCACCCTCATTCGCCCCACTCTGGGCCCATGAGCAAGGCCCTTAACCCCCACCATGTGCTCCCTAAACAGGTCTCTCTTGAAAATGAGTTCTTGTGGCTCAATGAGACTAACCTGTATAAATAAAGGCTAAATGAAAAAAAAAAAAAATAAGTACAGTCCATTTACCAGATAGAGATAATTTGATGATTACTTGCACCGAGTTAAAAAAAATCCAACAAGCTGTTCATGAGATATGTTGCTAACAGACAATGTAAGTTTACATGGTATTTCTAAATATGTGTTTCTGAAATCAGCAAGAGGTGTGTACATGTTTGCAGGCAGGGCACAGTAACAGATCCAGTGTGTCCCCTAGTTAGCTTGCCATGGCGGGGTGCTCATCTCATCCATGATTTTTGCTGATGGGGGGGACAGAGACATGTCTGAGCATTGCAGTACTAAAAGTTTTTGAGCAGGAGCGGGGGGCGTTCAACATGAGGGAAGAGGCAATGTGAGTGCTGCCTTTGGCTTTTTAGCTAGAGAGCCTGTATTTTGCACCACTAGCTTAGCGATATGTCAGTGCCGGGTGGGGTGGGAGGGGCAAGTTCAGTTTGGTAGGCGGGGTGCTCAGTTCTGTTGACGGGGTGGGGCACCTCGCCTGTATAATGGTAGGGGAAACACTGGATTCATGAAGAAAGTGGGTGAATCTTAGTTCAAACAGCTGCTGTGTAAAAATTACTAGGGACTGCTACGTTGTGGCCATTTTGAAATTTTGATTTTACAGTATTGTGTGTGTGTGTGTGGGGTTCACTCTCAGCTACGACTATGTGGTGTCCAAGGTGTCCAAGATGGCCACGCTCAGAGCAGTTGCAGCTTCACAGGCTCCCGGTACCATCCCAGTTTTTAGAAGTTTTGATATTGACTCTGTGCCTGACTCCGCGCGATTTATGCGTGTGAACTATAGCCGAACCGAACTGATGAGAATAGGAGCGGATTTGCCACGAAATATAGCAGAAATCAGCAACAAACTCAAAGCTACGCTCGGCAGAATGCAGATCTTAAAGTCATCTACCTGGAAGCTGCAGCAGAGGCGTTCCAGCGGGCAGAAGAGGAAGCGCTGCTCCCGGCTTAAGAGGAGAGGATGCCGGGCGGGGGTTATGGTGAGACTACGAGCTAACGCTAAAGCCGGCAAACTCCCAATGCTGTCTCTCTTTCTGTTGAATGTCCGCTCGTTGGACAACAAGGTGGATTTACTTCGTCTGAGAGCGGGCGCCTCAGAAGAGATGAAGAAGTGTGCAGTGCTTTGCCTCACGGAAACGTGGATTACAAGCGAAACGCCGGACACAGTCTTCCAGCTGGATGACAGACTTTTTTTTCGAGCGGACCGCTGCAGCGAGCTAACGGGGAAATCACGGGGAGGCGGAGTGTGCATTTACGTGAGTAAAAGTTGGTGCACGAACTGTACTGTTGTAAATAGCTCATGCTCGAAGGCTTTGGAGCAAATAACTGTGAAATGTCGGCCACATTATCTACCCCGCGAGTTCACGGTGACTTTCATCACTGTCATTTACATTCCTCCGGACGCTAATGCTAATGAATCACTACAGGAGTTACATGATATCATCAGCTCGCTGCAGAACAAACACCCCGAGGCTCTTTACGTTGTAGCCAGAGACTTTAACCACGTGAATCTAAAGGACTGTCTCCCAAGCTTTTATCAACATGTGGCGATTCTGACACGTGGAGACCACACGCTGGACCGTGTTTACACGAACGTAAAAGATGCATACATAGCCGAACCCCACCCCCACCTAGGACTGTCAGACCACATCTCAATCTTCCTGGCTGCTGCTTACATGCCCCCACTGAGACGCTCCAGACCGGTACAAAAGAAAGTTAAATGTTGGATCCAGGACAGTGGCCCCATACTGAGAGATTGTTTTGACCGAACAGACTGGCAGGTTTTCAAAGAAGCTGCTGAAAATGGAGGATCGCTTGATCTGGACTAATACACATCCTCAGTTCTGGGTTACATTAGTACATGTACTGACACCGTCTCCACTATCAGAAATGTTAAAAGCTACCCAAACAGAAAACCTTGGCTGAATGCAGAGGTGCGTACTCTGCTGGAAGCCAGGAACACTGCCTTCAGGTCTGGAAACTCAGAGGAGCTGAGTAGGACAAGAAAAGAGCTGGTTGCTGGTATTAAAGGGCCATGGCCACATATGCACAGAGGATCGAGGGTCAATTCATCTCACAAGACCCTCGGAGCATGTGGAAGGGCATTAAGTGCATAACAGATTATAAAGGAAGGAGCGAACAATGCCCCAAAGACCCATCTCTGCCTGATGCCCTCAACAAGTTCTATGCACGCTTTGAAGACGCGAACAGACCACCCAGCACCAGACTCACCTCACCACTGGATGAAGAGCATCTCAGCGTGACCTGAGTAGAAGTAAGGAGGACTTTCAGGAGGATTAATCCGCACAAAGCAACTGGCCCAGACAACATCCTCGGAAAAGTGTTGAAGGAATGTGCTGATCAGCTCTGCGAGGTGCTGGCAGACATCTTTAACACCTCACTTACCCTGGAGACAGTTCCCACCTGCCTGAAGACTGCCACCATCATCCCAGTCCCAAAAAGCTCTACAGTGACTGGTCTGAATGACTATCGGCCAGTGGCCCTCACCCCGATAGTTGCTAAAATGCTTCGAAAAACTGGTCATGACTCACATCAAAACAACCATCAACATCAACGAGGACCCTCATCAGTATGCATACCGTGAGAACCGATCAACAGAGGATGCCATCTCCTCTGTGGTCCACACTGCGCTCAACCACCTGGAGCAGAAAAACTCTTACGTCCGTATGCTCTTTGTGGACTTCACATCCGCCTTCAGCACCATGATCCCCCAAACCCTGATGGACAAACTATCCAACTAGGACTAAGCCCCTCCATTTGCAACTGGGTACTAGACTTCTTAACAAACAGACCACAGTTAGTGAGGATCCACAACTTCTCCTCCTCCACCATAACCCTCAGCACTGGCTCTCCTCAGGGATGTGTGTTGAGCCCCCTCCTGTTTACTCTGCTCACGTATGATTGTGCAGCTACCCATCCAGGCTGTCACAGTGTAAAGTTCGCAGATGATACAGCGGTGGTGGGATGCATCACAAACAATTATGAGTCCAGCTACAGGCAAGAGGTGGAACACCTGGAGAGCTGGTGCAAAGAGAATAATCTTCACATCAATGTGAAGAAGACAAAGGAGATGATTGTGGACTTCAGAAGGAACAAGAACATCTACACCCCCCTGAGCATAAGAGGATCTGCGGTGGAAGTGGTCTCCAGCTACAAGTACTTGGGTGTACACATGAATGACAACCTCAGCTGAAGCAACAACACCACCAGCCTGATCAAGAAAGCTCATCAGAGACTCTACTTCCTCAGACGGCTGAGGCGAGCTGGTCTGGGAAGCTCAGTCCTCACCTCCTTCTACAGGTGTGCAGTGGAGAGCATCCTGTGCTCCAGCATCAACGTGTGGCATAGAGGCTGCACAGCTGCAGAAAGAAAAGCATTGCAGAGAGTGGTGAAGGCTGCACAGAAGATGTTGGAGTCAGCCTCCCCACCATCACAGACATCTACACCTCCAGATGCAGGAAGAGGGCCACCTGCATCATGAAGGACCCCACTCACCCAGCACACACACTTTTTGCCCCACTCCCCTCAGGAAGGAGGTTGAGGAGCATTACGTGTAGAACCACTAGACTGAGGAACAGCTTCTACCCTGAGGCTGTTAGACTTATGAATCTCTAACCAGAATAATCACTGTGAAAAACCACATCATGTTGCTGCTGATCTGTTTCAATGTTGCTGCTGATCCGTTTCAATGTTGCTGTGTTCATGCGTGCACATCCGCTCACACAGACTCATGTTCATGTTTGTGCTTTTGTTCAATGTTTTATGTTATGAGTGCTTAGTGTATATTTAGTTGATGTTTTTCTTAGTTCATATCTTAGATGTTATTACTGTTTTTCTTAGACATTTTATTGTTGGATGTAACTGGGACCCTGTGTACATAATTTCGCTGCACCACATGTACCACATGAGGTGCGAATGACAATAAAGAATCTCTGACTCTGACTATAACAAATTTCAGCTCAATATCTTAAAATAGCTGTGTTATTTATTTTCCCTTTTAGTTAAGACGGCCA